AGTAACTGCAACACACTTATTCCAATGCTAATTAATGTCTTGATCTATTTGAAAAGGAATCCAGATCTCTCTTTCAACGTGGTATAAAACAAAAATCTTTTGTGTGGATTAGTTTTCTAGTTTTCGATTAATTGAGGTCTTTGTTTGTATGTACTTTGAAGTACTACGTACCAAATATACATGTATATAAAAAAATCAATCAAACAATTAATGTAAATTAAAGATTACAACTTTGCTTAAAAAATACTCTTTAATGCCCAGCACCCCCCAAGAAAAAAAAAGAAGAAGAAGAAAGAAACATCACTCTCTTTTTTTTTTCTCTTTTTTTTTTTTTTTTTTTGTACATGAGAGCAATACATTATGTACTAATTAATATAGACTCTAGGCCTACAAAAACTTAAAAGATCGTCTGATAATATTTGCAAGATTTCACCCTGGAGGTTCCTCAAAGAACTGCCATCCTTTAGGTAGATGATAAAACCTCGACGAAACATCACTCTTTATATACGTAAAATCTTCATTTTTGGCTAAACGAGTTATCAATTTCTAACATACGGAACATACCATGCTTAAAAGTTCTTGCAAATCCTTTAACTTTTAAAGTACTAAATTCAAATTCCCATTATTTAAAGAAAAAAAGTAAAAATTAAAACGTCATAATATTTTAAAAGTTAAAAATATAAATATTACCTAAAAATTATTCAAATAGTCTTAATAACTCTTTGTTATGTGGGCTGTGCAAAAAAAAAAAAATCTTTGTTATGTGGTAATTCAACAAAAGAATTAGAGTCTTTTCATTATTATTAATTTCTAACATTTAATTCCTAGACATTTTATTTTTTACAATCTCTTCCCTTAATTACTAGTAACAAATAAAAATCCTATGATTATCAAACTCATTTTTAAGGCTAAGACTAACTATAAACCCCAAAGTTTGCCGAACCAATTTGGAGCTAAGCCCAAAGGTGATGATAAGGGGGAGAATGGAAAAGCAGAACATATTGTTAAAAGAAGAAACAAAAGGGTAGATACGGCATCACAAACAAAATCTGCTGTGAAATCAAGCAAAGCGGAGTCTCCGAGTCGAAAATTCGGAGATGAAAAAGGGAACCCGGATGAGTCACCAAGATCCCAAGAGGAAGAGGATCGGCAAACTCAACCTTTTTGGGAAGGGCTAGCGAGTGAGGACAAGATTTTGCAGTCAAGAGCAGAGAGGTTAGCAAGAGAAAAAAAGAGGAAAAAACAGATGGAAAGAAGAATGAGGAAGCGGATTGAGGTCAAATGGCAAAAGAAAAAGGAGGGCAAGAAGCATATCTTGAGTAAAGAAGCTGAAAACAGGAGGGGAGATGCACCCACTGTCCAGACGGAGCAACCGACTCAGAGGCTGGAGTTGAAGAATAGCTGCTGGAGAGAAGCAGAGGAGTTATGGTCTGTAGGCAAGCAATTGGGCTTAGTTGATAAGAATAACGTAGAAGAAATCATCCAAAGACTAAAGGAGATGGAGGAAAGAGATCGTGCTGCACTTGCTACCCAAAAAGCAGCAACGACGATCAACAGAAGGGAAGCTAACCCGAATTGCACATGAAGATTTTATCCATCAACGCCAGGGGTCTGGGGGACAGTAAGAAGAGAAGAGGATTGCGTGATTTAATCAGGAAAGAGGGAGCATATATTGTATTCATCCAAGAATCGAAGATGGAGGTATGTGATGACAGGAAATGCAAGTATATATGGGGCGGGGACAACTGTAGGTGGGTAATGAAAGCCGCTCACGGGAAATCTGGAGGTATTTTATGTTTGTAGAATTCTAATTTATTTGAACTGAGCAAAGATCTTGTGGGTAGTGGATTCTGTGGTATGTATGGTTTTGGGGGAATAGATAAATTGCCATGTTATTTTCTGAATGTTTATGCTCCTTGTGATAGCCTGGGTAAAAAGTTACTATGGAAAGAGATTTTAGATCTAATGGAGGTGTGTGATGGTGGTAATTGGTGCATAGGAGGTGATTTCAATGCAATCCGTAGTAGAGAAGAGAAAAGAGGAAGACACTTTAATAATACTGCCATGAGAGACTTTAATAGTTTTATTGAAGAAGCAGGACTAGAAGACTTGCCGTTGACGGGAAGGAAGTTTACATGGTTCAAGTCTGATGGATCAGCAATGAGTAGGCTAGATAGATTTTTGGTGTCCACAGGGTTTCTCATAAACTTTCCTGATCTAATTCAAAAAGGTTTAAGCAGAGATATTTCAGATCACTGCCCAGTAATGTTAATTAGCTCAAGCAAGGATTGGGGGCCAAAGCCTTTTAGAAGCTTAGACTGCTGGTTTGAAATTAAAGAGTTTAGCCCCTTTGTACACGAGAAATGGAACAGTTACAATGTGGAGGGTTGGAAAGGATTCAGATTGAAGGAAAAATTTAAGTTGCTAAAAAATGACTTAAAGGAATGGAACATGGAGGTGTTTGGGTACATTGACAGGAACTTAAAGAAGATAAGAGGCGAGATCAAGAATTTAGATGACAAAGCTGAGAATGGAGAATTATCAGAAACCGAAATTGAACAGAGGCGATCTTGCTTTCAGCAATTTTGGGAGTGGAACTTGAGAAAGGACAGCCTACTATGTCAGAAATCAAGGCAGAAATGGCTTCAGGAAGGTGATGCCAACAGCAAGTATTTCCATGGGTGCATTGTAAAGAGAAGAAGAAGAAATGGGATAGAAGGAGTTATGAAGAATGATGCTTGGGTTGACGAAGTTCCAGAGGTGAAAAAAGTTATAAAAGAATTCTTTGAATTCAAGTTCCAAGAGCATGAATGGGATAGACCTAGCTTAGAGAGTAATGATTTAAAGCAACTAAGTCCAGAGGATAACAGCTGGCTGACGGCAAAATTCTCAGAAGAAGAAGTAAAGGCAGCTGTGTGGAATTGCAATAAGAGTAAAAGCCCGGGACCAGATGGTTCAACTTCAACTTCATTAAAAAAATGTGGCCAACCATAAAGCAAGATATTGTGGACTTTGTGAAAGAATTTTGGGCGAATGAGAGATTGGTGAAAGGAAGCAATTCATCTTTCATTGTCTTAATCCCAAAGAAAGAATCCCCCCAAGGCTTAGGGTATTTCAGGCCTATATCCCTAGTTGGTTGCTTATATAAAATTATCTCTAAGCTTCTTGCCAATAGATTAAGGAAGGTGATGCCAACGATCATCAGCCAAAACCAGTCAGCATTTGTTGGAAAGAGATACATAGCAGATGGTATTGTCATTGCTAATGAGGTTATCTATGAAGCTAAAAAGAGAAGGAGGCCCACACTGATATTCAAAGCTGATTTTGAAAAAACCTACGATAGTGTCAACTGGAAGTTTTTAGAGTTGATGATGGAAAATTTTGGATTTTGTCTGAAGTGGAGAAAGTGGATCAAGGAATGCCTAACTACTTCATCTGTCTTTGTTCTGGTGAATGGTAGTCATACAGCGGAATTCAGCATGGAAAAAGGACTGCGACAAGGTGATCCCTTAGCCCTATTCTTATTCCTTTTAGTCGCTGAAGCACTAAACGGATTGATTCACAAAGCAAAGGAGTTAAATATGTACAAAGGAGTGGAGATGGGAGAGGAACGTCTAGAGGTCACACACCTCCAATTTGCTGATGACTCTATCTTCTTCTGTGACGCATCTGACTCGAATATAAAAGCAATCAAAGGGATCCTCCGAACCTTTGAGCTTGTCTCGGGACTCGAAGTGAACTTTTTCAAAAGTGCTTTGTATGGAATCAATGTAAAGGCAGAAGAGATAAGTGAATGTGCAGAATCTCTAAACTGTATGGTGGGTGCTATGCCTTTCAAATATCTCGGGGTACTAGTTGGAGCTAATCCAAGGAAGTTTTCAACCTAGGCACCTGTTATTGACTGCTTGAGACACAAATTGTCAAGTTGGAAATGCGAATCGCTGTCATTTGGTAGAAGAATCGTTCTTCTGAATGTTGTCCTATCAAGCATCCCAATCTACTTCTTTACAATTATGAGAGCTCCCAAAAAGGTAACTAACTTGCTGTCCTCAATCCAAAGGAGATTTCTATGGGGGGGGGTAAGGAGGGTAATAGGAAAATAGCATGGGTGAGTTGGGAGAAAGTTTGTAGAAGTAGAAAACAGGGAGGATTAGGTGTTAAAGACCTAGACAAATTTAATATGGCTCTATTAGGAAAGTGGAGATGGAGATTGGTGGTAGAAAAAGAGGCACTATGGAATACGGTAGTAGAGGCAAAATATGGGATACAAAAGGAAAAGGATTAGGAGGGGAAAAATGTGAAGCATAGTTGTTCATATTGGTGGAAGGCAGTGTGGAAGTTAGATAAAGAAGTAGGCAATAAAGAGGGATGGGTTTACAAGGGCTTGGTGAAAAGTGTGGGGGAAGGGAATGACACGTTATTTTGGCAGGAGAAATGGTGTGGGGAGAGGACTCTTAAGGAGAAATTTAACAAGTTATATAGAGTGGCAATAAGTAATGAGGCTTTGATTAAAAATATGGGTGAATGGAGGGATGGAGAATGGACTTGGAAGTGGGGTTGGCGTAGGGAGCTGATAGGAAGAGAGCATTCTTTATTGTAGGATCTTGAGAAGCTGTTGAAAGAATGCAAACTGATGAAAGGAAAGCAAGACTTCTGGAGTTGGAAGCATGATTCGAAAGGAACTTACTCAACAAAATCTGCCTACTCCCTTTTAAATATCAGCATCGAGGAGCCAGGATCAATTCAATTCAACAAGATATGGAATTCTAAGGTGCCACTTAAAGTTTCAGCTTTTGTGTGTGGAAACTCTTACAAAATAGAATTCCTACAGGTAAAAATTTGCTAAAAAGAGGCATGGCTGGAGGTGAACCGGATTTTGAATGCATTTTCTGTGGAAAACAAGTTGAAACAACAAGTCACTTATTCTTCACCTGTGAGGTCACTTGGGCAGTCTGGCAAGCATTCTATGCATGGTGGGGACAGCAAGGTGTTCTCACATGTGAAGGTTGGAAGCATCTGCAGCAACATACAGGCATGATACAGATTGGAAAATTAAAAGAAGCTTGGTATGTGTCTTGGTTCTCAGTCATTTAGTCCATCTGGCTATGGAGAAACCAGTTGATTTTCAAGGAAGGCAAGGACACTCCTGATACAGTGATGGAATTAATCAAGGTACGCTCACTGCACTGAATTAAGGCCAAGTCTAATTCTGAATTGGCTAAAGAACAATGGTGGAAGAATCCTAAGGATGCGTTAATGTTTATAGGATTAGCTGGTGATTAAGTAGTGGGATTGATTTGATTTTGTAATTCGAGATATTTGCAGGATGATGTAAAGGGTTGGAGTACCCCTTGTACTCCTATTTCTAATTTTATAAATCTTCATTTTGCCGATCAAAAAATAAAAAAAAATTTCCTCAACTTCAGAAAATCAACAAGGCAGCTTAAGTTTATTACAATTAGAAGAAAGAGGCAGAATTAGGAAAACTAAAATCTACTCAATATTTTAGAATAAAGGGACAAATTTGTAATTCCAAATTCAAAATATGTATAAAAATAAAAATATTATATACTTCTCCTTGGTGTGTATGAGTACGGTCTATTCCTCTATATATAATCCCTCTGATCTCCAAACCAACGCCACATTTCATACCCATCCACCAATTTCCAAACACAAAACCAACACCTTTCGGAGAAAAACAGGAATGGGTAACAGCTTAAGGTGCTGTTTGGCTTGTGTTCTGCCCTGTGGAGCTCTCGATTTGATACGAATAGTTCACCTCAACGGCTACATCGAAGAGATTACCCGTCCGGTCACCGCCGGCGAGATCCTTCAGGCCAATCCTAATCATGTTCTCAGCAAGCCCTGCTTCCAAGGCGTCGTCCGTAAAATCCTCATCCTGTCTCCTGACTCCGAGCTCAAGCGGGGCAGCATCTACTTCTTGATCCCGTCGGCTTCCTTGCCGCCGGAGAAGAAGAAGGGCTGCGCTGCCTCCGCCGCTCTCAAGTCCTCCAAAAAAAGTAGGAAGTGCCAAGAACAAGTTTCCGAGGACTACTGCAACCGGTACCTCACAGATGTTATATCGGAAAAGAAGTCATCAAGTCGAGATCGCCGGCACCGGAAAAGTCGCAGTCGCGTAGTCGAATGGCGACCCCATCTCGAGAGCATCGCGGAGGACTAGTTTTTTTGTTTTTGTTTTTCCGGTGCCGGGATCTAACGTCATCTCCATGGTGTACATGTACACGTATATAAGCAAAAGCCGTCCAATTATATGTATGCATACCGTGGAGTGTCTGGTTTTGTGGATATATAGAGTTTATTTTTCTTTTTCTTTTCTTATTATGGCCTGCGGAAAAATAAAACAGCAGATCTAAAACTCTCAATATTTTCTATGAGGAAAAAAGAGGGATTATCTACTAAATGGGATTTGCATATACCCCCTAATCAAAGTTGTAAGTATGAAAGGAAACCTCTAATTTTCTCTTTGATTTTGTTGTTTTCTTTAAAATTAATTAATACAGTATATGATCCAATGATCGATGAATAATCATCCGGTGCCGGATTATAATTATGTGTGTGTATTTAATTCAGATGATCATTTGAATATATGTATCTCAGCAGGGTTAAGCCCTTTAATTGGCCGTATGTTTAGTTTGTTTTGGAATTTCATGTAATGATTCAAAGGGTACATATTATGTAAGTAAATTCTATGGAATTAAATAATCTAAAATTAGTCAAAATAAAAGAAAATTTAAAAAAAAATGACAGATATGTGTGTTGAGACTGAGGTATTAAGTACGTAGTAATTTTGCCATTCATTATAGTAGCATAGCAGCATGTTATGCCTTAGAGAAGTGACCCAAATTGACCAAGGTAGTAGTAATATTATTCACAATGTTATAGTTATAATGTCATATAATTAATATTGTAAATTTATATTTTACATGATATTAAATGAAATATAACATAATATTAAATTATGTGAATATATACAATATTATAAGTGGATTTGTGAATAAAAAAATTAATTATATAAAAACTAATTATGTTATAAATTTATAATGTCACTTGAGATTTTAATTATAGTATTTTTGTAATATTCTCATGTGGGGAGTGATAATCGATGATCATATGTGGACGACCCAAATTATTTTATTAATGTTTAGACAAAGTGATAAGCCACTGATAATGACGATCAATGATTAATTGAATTTAGTACTCCGTATTATATATGTGATTACTTATTATTTTTTTCACTAATGATTAATCATATATATACCCAATGGGACTAGAGCTAAAGTATTTGATATGAATGTCCAAATACACTTAATTTGCCCACAATTAAAAGATTCATAACTTTTAATCTAAACAAAAGAAAAAAAAAAGATTAATACTGAATATCACGGGAAGAGAAAAATAATTAATAGATTAATTAGAAGCTAATTAAGGTTAATGATTGTGTGAGTTTACATTTATTCTATAGGGCATGATATGTATGGAGTTGGGTAACAAGAATTTTTCAAAGGGTTGAAAGATTTGATTATAATTAAGATAATACCGCAATTTAATTATTGCAATGAAAAGTCCTTCAATTTGTTCATCCTACAGCTAGATAACACGGTGCCATCTATATGTGGCAAACTCTCCATTATATTCTATCACTAATATTTAAATATCCAATTAAGACTATGTAGAGCTCCCTTAACTTTGTACGTAGTTACATTTGATACCTCAACTTCAAAATATAACATTTAGGTCCCAAATAACTTGTTACAATATATATATCTCCCAAATCGCTAACTTTCAGTTCCACAAAGTTCATTTGAAATTAATTGGAGGGATTTTTGACTTGGTCGTGTTATGTCATCAATAAGGAAATTGATGACGTTATCTATTAGGGAAATTAAACAATAGTCTTAAAAAAAAAATGATGAAGAGAATGTAAAAGTTCATATATATATATATATATATATATATAATACTAATTAACAGATAGACAACAGAAAAGAAAACAGATGCAAGATAGGAATACAGAAACTAAATATTAACTAAAGGACAAAATAGTGAATAATTGTTAACCAAATAATAGATAATTTTGACCCAAAAAATAAATTAAGTAGTAAATGGACTATATATATATAAGATGGAAAACATAAAAGAAGTCAGAATTGAGACTCTCTGAGGAGCAAGAGCGCTTTTATTCAATGATCCATAGAGGAGCAATGGAGGGGCTCATTGAGAGATTAATAAATTTGGTTCAATTTGGATTGCTAGGTTTTGAATTTGGGAGACCAAACTGACACTAGGTACAAAATTGAGGAGCTACTGATGCTATTTACATGTTTTTTTTAATTAAAAAAAAAAAGAGAAAGAAAAATAAACAGAGAAGACAAGACAGTTGGGTTTCAATTATTAATCTATATATGCTTAAATGTCGATATATAGAATGGATCCAAAAGTTGAGAAAATAGCGAAATCTCCACGCCACATAAAAACAAATGCAAAGCAAGCTGGCAAATTAAACATTGATATATAGGAGACAGTATGTAGGTATGTCATATCTATCTCTCTCCTCCTCACATGGATTTCCTCTTCTTCCACATAAATTTGATTATGACACTACATATTTTAATCCTTCGGACCACAAGCCCTTTCATCGGTTTTAGTTCAGGGGATCAAAGATTTCCATTTCTCCAGATGAGTTTATTTCTTAATCACATGGGTCCTTGTCTATTAGTACTTACTATTTTACATGCGCCAAGGCATAAAATCACTTGGGCAATTAACAAATATCTAGTTATAGTATTTGATTATTGTTGTATTAAAGTGGGTGTTGGAGATCCCTATGAACAAGTATGCATCGAGCATTGCGCGATCGTTGGGTAAGGACAAAAATTAAGGATCCAAATGGGGCAGCCACCGGGTTCACGGTGTAGCCGGTTTCCGGGGGAGAAGGTAGGCGCAGGTTAGCTGGTTTTAACATCTGTAGGTTGGAGACACACATGTGGTCATAATTTGGATTCATTGTCTGGGATCATGTTTAATTAATTAATCAGACCCGGGAAAAATTGAACTCCAAACAAAAGTATTGACTTTATGAATACAGCTGTTGATATCATTAGTTATGTGATTTTGGGGTGGAATTATTTGTATCTTTAATTATATATTATAAATTTAATTTTTAATCTCTACATATAAAAAAAAAATAAAAAATACAGCTATTGATCAAATTTTCTTTTTCCAACCAAACGAGGTATTGATTGAAATTAAGGGACAACTAACGAAAAAGAGGGGAAGATGATGGAGAGGAGGATGAGAGACTTCAAATCATAGCCGTATGGATAAGAAAACACTTTTTATCAATAATTATTCTATGTGTCTTCAATTGATGAAATGCTTTATTATTAAGATTAAACCTAGCTACTGTTTTTTTTTTTTTTTATAATTATTTATAGGTGTACATCAGCCAACAGGCATGGCCCTTGGATTTATTTATTAATTCTAGTTACTGTAATTTTTTTATTATCAATTAATTCTAAGTAGTTGAACCTAGAAAAGATATATTGAAGTTATATTCTCCCTTAATTACGGATAATTGCTGGCATGTTTCCAGCGTCCAGTTTCCGGCTATATATATATACAATAATTTCCAAAGTTACACACGTTTTTTATTTTCTTAATGTTTTTTTATTGAAAAAAAATCAAAACGTCTTGATATTACAAATGTTAAGATATCTAATAATAGTTATATGATAAATTTAATAAAATTATAACTCACATTATGCTTCACACATTTAATAGTTATGATTAAATATCCTAACATTTTTAAAATCAAGACATCTTAATTTTTCTCTTTTTTGTTTCCTATTTATAGTTGTATCATATTTATAGTTATTAAGCACTACAAGTGCCATGCAAAAAAAATGGTTAACATATTTGATATTCTTTTGCAATAAGAAAATAGGAGAAAGGAAATTAAAGATCTTTCGTTGGAAGAACTTTTTTATTTTCATTTTTTAAATGTGCATGTTTCATTCTATTTTCAAAATTTACACATATTGACATATCAAGTAAATATCTTTCTACCAATCGGGCCTAAGGCCCAATGGTTGATCCCCAAGCCTAGGGTTTGGATGAGGTGAAGGTCAGGATTTTGAATTCTGTCACTACCGTGAACTCCACTAACTTGCGACTTAATGGCCACACGCCTCATATGAAGGAGTAGAATGTTCACCACTCTGAAAAATCCCAACTGCTAACAAACTAACTCTACTAACTTCCTAACCATTTCTCTTGTCATAAATAAATAAATATCTTTCTTTTTTTGCTCAACCAAAAATTTAATTAAGTTAAATCTATTTTAATTCAGGCCACACTTTTCCAGAATTCTGGGGTATATCCAGAACAACACATGAATCTTTGAACAGGAACTTGTCCTTCCCTATTAATTCGTTGGCGAACGTTTGTTGTTGCACCACCAACACCGATGTATGACAGTTAGAATCCGTTGAAGCCAGCATGTCGCCGATCAAACCCAACTCCGGAAACTCATTCCATTCTGTCAACCCTAGCCCTAGGAACAACCGCGACTCTTTGTCGTGGCGTCTTCCCACCAGAATTAGGTGAAAACAATTCTCTACCGATCGAATAACGGCCACTGTTCCGACGCTGTCACTAACAGCTTCTTCCCTGTAAAGTAGGTAGGACACAAATCCAAGGGAAATTTTCTTAAAGTTAATTCAACAAAATTAATTAAAAATCTTTTTAACATGTGTCGTCCTTAAAAGGTTATTATACATATAAATTATTAATTTGTACAGGAAATTCTGAAAATAAATTTTATTTTTAATACCAGTACTATATGAAATAATTTAATTAAATAGTTAATTAATAAAATTTAAGTCAACTTTTATTTTTTATAATAATTAATGATGATATATATATATATACACACACTTGTGCAGCAATTAATTAATTACCTGAAAGTATGATGTTTTTTCCCGACCATTGTGATCTTAAATTCGTTGATGATTTGATCGTCAAGGTGATCGCTTTGATTAGTACTGACCTTGTGTTTGTTGTTGGCGATCAATTGGACCACCGTGATGCATACGTTAGGGTGATCACCCATACGTAGGGCGTATGCTAGGGCTTCCCTGTCATCAGGTCCTTCCGCGAAAATCACCCCGATGCTATACAAACTCTTGCTCGATAAAGAGCTTGTCCCCATAAACGTGCCACGGTCGATCAAAATACCCACAGAGCAGGGCGCGCTTCGCAGGATATTATGGTTTGCTGATCTGACTGGTCGGGGAAGTTCATCCATTCCGCCATGCACGGCCCAGTGCCTGTGAAACGGAATGATCACCATTGCTACTCTCTTGTCCATAGCAAGGGAACATATTTCGTCGTGCATCGTAGCATATGGCGAAATAGCGGTGAATAAGTTCACTACTAGAAACCCTCGACGCTGCCGCTCGTACATTCTGAAGGCATTTATGATGTGCTCGGAGTAGTATGCCTGAAAAGAGTTTTTTTTGCCCGGCCGGTGACTTAGGAGGACTGGAGCTGACCTCCCAGTAAGCTCGAGGAGGTGGACAACGTAAAAGCATATGGGGCTTATGGACGTAGGATTGGACAACTCCAGGAGGTTGATGATAGAAGGCGCTTGGTCTTCGGAGTAAATGCAGGCCATCATTCGCAGCTCCGCGTCCGGTCGTGTATGTTGAAGGGTCCTTCTCAAATGGGAGACATATCGCTCGGACGGATTGTAGAGTAACTTGATAATCGGCGTCATGATTCCGGTTATCAAAACCATTGAAATGGACATTATCGTATATATATCTACATTAATCAGCTGCAATTAATATCAGAAAATTATATATATATTTAAAAAGATCTAACTAGTCATGCTTGATATATAATAAGTCATTAATAATTTAAGACTGACCTATATTAATAGCCAAAATGTATATACGGTAGCTACCTAGGATATTTCCACGTTGATAAAAAAAAAAAACAAAAACAAAAACAAAACAAAACTAGGGTATTTCCACATTTATTATTTTACATTGCCAATGAAACCCCAACATACATCCCTATTAGTATTACTGTTTAAATAGCTATATGTACATGCCCAATGTTTTAGTACACTTAATTAAAATAAAGAGGTTGCAGAATTTACCCCGAGGTAAAAAGCATGATGAAGCATGAGGACATCGGTTATGCCTTGGGCACTCATGACAAGACCGAAACATAAGGCATCATTTAGGGGCATTTTACAGTAAAGTGACGGTACCACGGTGGCAAGAAGTTTACCAGCAAAGCCAGATAAAGCGAACATCTCCACAACATAGAGGGTGTCCCATTGGATGCTAGATATATTCACTAGAGAGCCGCTTAGTACAAAGTAACTTGGAAGAAGAACAGAGGAGACATAGGATTCAAGTTTAGCCACCAGTGCGGAGCCTAATGGTGGTCCATCGGGCACCGCAAGCCCCAACATCATGGGTCCAAGCATCATTTGCTGACCAATTACTTCACTAAAGAATGCACAAGATAAAACCATAAGAAATATGGCATATATATGATCCTCTTTTACTGATTTCTCCTCTGTTATTCGCTTGACCATCCATAATATAATGGGACGTAAAATGTAGACGATAAGAATAATCAAACACCCCATACTCAGATTCATATATGTTAAGACATCTTGTTTGCCTTGAAAGTTGCTATTTATGGTGAAGCAAGTGACGACGGAGAGCCAAGAGCAGAGACCACTGACCAACGAAGACGAAGTGGCTAACCGACCAAGTTCAGAATTTAGTAGTTTGAGGTCAGCCAGGAGACAAACGACGACATGGAAGGAACTTATACCCTGAAAACCGGCGATGACAAAAACAGACTTTTTTAAAGTGGGTTCCAAATCGAACTTATTGTTTATAATTGCAGCCAGAATTAAGTTTAGGCAGATGGGGAGGACGTAGGTAAGAAATCCGATGACCACTGCTTTCTTTCCCGATTTCTTTATCATGCTTAGGTCCGTTCGTACCCCTACCAGAAACAGAAAGAACATGCAGCCGATGTAGGAGAAGGTTTGGCTCACATAAACGCTCCTCAAGGGGAAGATAGCGTTCCTAAAAGAGTTCAGATGAGATCCCAATAGCGATGGCCCAATCAAAATTCCCACCTGATCAATACATGCATATATAATAATATTAACATGCATATATATATATATATATTCGTATTAAATATATATACTTTGATACATAATAATTAACAATTTACCCAAAAAAAAAAGATATATAATAATTAACATACTTTTTTTTTTTAAATTATTGTTAAACTTACTATCATCTGAGAGAAAAAGCCACTCTCACCGAGCGGATTGAAAAGGAGTTGAAAGAAGGCGGTGAAAAGGGAGGCTAAAGAAAGCTGAGCCAGAATGACCGTCTTGGGGTGGCGGAATGGATTGTCACCGAAAAAGATACCTCTTGTCTTTGCATAGTTTTGTGACTGGCAAACCCAGCTGCCATTAAATGCTGCCTGGATTTGGCTCATTGTGGTGGTCGCCGGTCGGTGAAATGAAAAGTGGTATGCAATTGGTAGACAGACAAGGGATCATCATCAAGTGGAGAGAGATGGATTGTAGTTGAAGAGAATGCATTACATGCAGAGAAAAACTAGGCGTGGACAGGAGGATTGTACGGGCTATATATAAATATAATGTGTTCTGAAATTCTTTCTAATTACTGTAACTTTTTTGTGGTGGTGATAATTATTAATTAATAACCAATTAATCAAAATGACCTCCAACCCAACCCACTAATCCAGGGATTCATGCACAATCAAAAAACAAAAACAGATGATTAATTGGGCGCTAATTAAATATAGCTAGCGTAATGGGCGAGGGGATAAAGACACATTTGGGCTAATTAGGCCTAGAGCATATGCACAATGCGAGTCCAAATTCTATTTAGGCTCAAAGGTAGGCATGCCGGATGCACAATGCATGCAGGCCGGGCTTTTGCCAAATTAAGTGGATCAAAGTAAATGACCTTACGTATTCTCTTTTGGGAAATTGTGGCTTTACCCTTGTGGTTTGAACAATAA